AGGGAACTAACTTCCATTAAACCTGAAATCCAGACGATGCACATTCTGTTTAGAAGCCAGATCGTCTAGGGACTTACAATCTGAGACCTGGAAAGTGGTTTGGTGTTCTGAAGCACCACCTGTTTTCTATGGCCCTTTCTGTCCCGAATTCTGAATCCTTCATTTGCTGTAATGTATGTGCTACCAAATGCTCACTACACCCTAATTTCCTAGATACCAAGACAAATTAGATTAACTTTCCCACATGAAAGCAAGGCAATGCTAGTTTAATATGCTTTTTTCTTTAATATGTTCAAAAAAGAGGTTGTCTATAAAACATTAATTTTCTTGGAATATTTCCAGTACCAAAAGAATAGTCCTTCTACATAGACAGAAACTCTGAGGAAGAAGAGATAGCAGCAATATCATAGGATGGCCATGAGGATCAAGTGAGCAATTAGATGAAAAGACTTAGAATAGTGCACAGCACACAATAAGTGCTCAATAACTCTTAGGGGTTATTACTTTCAGTAAAAGGCCCACTATGAGCCTGGCTCTGTGCTAGGAGTTACCTACAGCTTCTCGCTTGAGATTCATAACAAGCCAAGGAGAAACATCTGAACACCCTCTACTTCCCAACCCATTTGGCTTAGAGAAGCTAAGCAACTTATCCAAGGTTTCAAATTTAGGAAGCATTAGAAAGAAAGTCCAACCCTTGGTCTATAATATTTTTAGAGCCTATGTTTTTTGTCATGTTTCTTAGATTGTCCTACTGTTCTTATTTTTAACTTAGGTTGGGAGTCCATTTTTCCTCCCTGAGCACTTGATCCTCTCTTTCCAAATGGCTGTCTAATTTTTTAGTGTTACTCATTTTGTTATGAATTAAGAGTATTTTTTTTTTCATCTCTTCTGGTGGATTCCTGACTAATTTGTCTAGTTTTATATAAGGCCATTTCTCCAAGATCGTTCTAGTCTTTCATCAGACTTGTCCTCACATAGTGGTATTCATTTTTAAGAAGTTCAATGTATGTATAGTTTAGTTTTTTTTATAGTTTTTCTTCTGGAGCATGCATGAAAAAAATCCCACATTTTTGTGGAATGGAAGCTTCCCTTCCCCACCCATTTTTGTTATCACATTTTTATTTAGTTGAGCCTGGGACAATACTAGTATAACTTTCATATTGGGCAGTTACACTGTCATCCAAATGCAATGAGAAGTCATTGTTTTGTGATGGTATCACCCTGGTTGCAGATATTATGCCAGAGTAATCTCTCTGTTACAAAAATATCTTCTAGTAGTGATGTACAAACTAACACCACATCTTAATTTGCCAAAAATACCTACATGGTATTTTGTAATCTATACCGTAATTAGTATTTCAAAGCACCTTATCATGAGTTTCCTCTCCTATCTCTGTGAAATTAACCAGTAGTATCAACTGCAGGTTCAAAGATGGGAAACTAAGATAAAGGAAGGTTTATGGCTTGCTCAAGGTCTTAGAATGAACCCATAGCATAGCTAGTATTAGAATCTGCTTTATTATTATTATTATTATTATTATTGCATCTGTTCAAATTCTGAATAATTTTCCAAGTGAATATATGCTGAGAGAGGTGGTAGAAATGGGAAAGGGGAAAGTACTATTCAGTTAAGTAAAGCCTCAAAGACATTTGGTAATCAAAGAATAAGGACTGTGAGGGCCCTTTTCCCTCATTTCCATTATAGAATGAAAGGACAATAACCCAATGAGATGAAAATAAATAGAAATTGCAAGCATAACGAGGAATTGTTCAGATCGAGCTATTTTCCAATTTCAGCATCATTTTGCTCTTTTCGTCAGTCAGTACTGCTATAAAAGTCATGCCTTTGAAGTGCTTTGAACTATTGTCACAGTGCCCTCCTTAAGCAGATAAACTCAATGGACCTATTCTGCCATTGCTGTTTTATGAACAAGGAAGCATTCACCATGGCTGCTGCTCAAATTAGAACCCAGAGCTCTTTTCAATCACATCCTACTGAAATTTAGGTTTCAAATTTTTGTTCCAGTGTCATAGATGGGTGGCAGTGCCTGAAGGCAAACGTGCTCACCATATACAAAGGGGCCAGCCCTGCTTCCATGGTCCCTCCTCAATCTTCTCCTTCCTAAGCCATTCCACAAAAAACTCCTCATTCCTTTAAGGACTTCTAATTTCTTTTGGGGGAATAGGTAGAACTAAACATGACTTTTGCATCCAGATTTCCATGGCTTTCTCTTTATTTCACACAGATAGGATTATAATGAGTTCTCAGATAAGTAACAGATCTCATTTACCCTTGTAGAATTTGGGCATGGCCCAAACTCGAGATAGTTAGAAGTACTGGCAACCAAAGGAATAGGTCTGTGTCTGAGTGATAAGCTCTTGTCAAACACCAATTATAACAGAAGATGGTGTGGAAATATGGACTGAGTTTTGATGTGCTCTGTCTCCTCCATGTCATCCATTCTATAAGGGAAAATGAAACCAGTTATTTACCAAGAGCCCAGGCACAGTTGTGTCTATATAGAACAAACAGATGGAAAACCTTGGAAATTGAGATATGGAAGTCATTAGAAATGTCCACCCTGGCTGGATAGCTCAGTTGGTTAGAGCATATTGTCCCAATATGCCAAGGTTGAGGGTTCGATCCCCAGGCAGGGCATGTACAGAAGGCATAAGTAAGTAGAACAAATCAATGGTTCTCTCTCCTTTCTGTCTCTCAAATCAAAACATTTTTAAATTTTTCCTATTTATTTTTTCATCATCTAAGATAAATACTGTACTACAGCAAGCACATTGAACATCCACTGTTTGGATCCTATTACCGAGGTGATTTTTAGAAAACCTTCACAGAGTGTTAATATGATAAACACAGTTGGCAAACTTTTTCTCTAGTTATATCCAGGAGTGGAGGAAAAAAGCCAAGAAAATGTACTTTTCCCCTTAGCCCCCAGCCCAGAGCTGGACAGAGACCTGGTTAGTATATATTCCATTCATGTGGTCTACATCTAATTCCTTTGTGACCAAGGCCATTCTCCCAGGCCTCCCAGCAGCTAAGCGACCGTTGGGACTGAATGATTTCCCTTTCGTGTACCAGTCATTTGGTTCACTGGGTGAGAGTTTAAATTTGCGCAATTTCTGCAACACTCATCAATTTTTTCAGGGCCTACTAAGAACTGTCCAGATTCTGATTTTCTTGATCTTTTGACCACCTGACTTGTTTTTGGACCTTTCCCCATTGAGACAGGGAGCTGAGGAGACACAATCTGAAACTCAATCCAGGCCAGAGCTCACCTGAGAGCTGCAGCCTTCCCTGTTGGAGGGAACCATGCCGCTCCTTTTCAGCCACAACCCCTTTGACTTTTTTCCTGTCAGTGACCCTCACCAGAACCTGCATTTGAAAAGTGAGCTGTGGAGCAGGTCCCTATGGGGGCCAGGCCACCACTGAAATAACACTTGTAGAGGTCTGTACTTCCTCACACGTGGTATCCTGAATAGCTATCCACGCTTAGGTGTGTGTCGGGGCACCAGGAAGCCTGGCCCCTTTCCCGCCATGCATACCTTCATTTTACTAACCCACTCCTTGGGCTTCTTACCTATGGAAGCTGCAGCTCCAGGCACACAGAGGCCACTTACCCATCCACAGCTTATAGTTCAAGGATTACTAACATCCTAGGCTTCAAGGCCAGAAAGCAACGGCCAACCCTTTGCTTTTTGACTAGGTCCATGTACAAAATGCATAATTAGGTAAAACAAATCATTGCTTCTCTCTCCTTTCTGTCTCTCAAATCAATACATTTTAAAAATTTTTCCTATTTCTCTTTTCATCATCTAACATAAATACTGTACTACAGCAAGCACATTGAACATCCAGTGTTCCCTGTGTGTGCTGCAGCCAAAGTAGAGGCTTAAAAACCCGCGTACAAAGCCTTCTCCAGGGGCTACTCATCAGTAGAGTCAGCGGACAGCGGCAGGAGCCACCGCGTGGATGCCACCCCCGTGGGGCAACGGGACCTGAGGGCTTCCATTTGCGCAACTTCTGCATCACCTAATCGACTTTTCAGGGCACACTAAGAACTGTCCAGACTCTGGTTTTCCTTGACCTTTTGACAGACTGCCTTATTTCTGGACCTTTTCCCCACTGAGACGGGGGAGCTGAGGAGACAGTTTGAAACTCAATCCAGGTGGGGTCCGGCTCCCTCGGTCGATGCCTGCGCCCCCTTTTCGCCCTGAGGGCGAAAGTGCCAGGGCCTCTGGGGCGGAGAGGACCCCGCTGCCAGCACAGGGCGTGGCGGGCAGGGGTGTGGCGGGCAGGGGTGTGGAGAGGCCGTGTCGTGAACTTGCAGAGAGGTTGGAGGTGTCAGAGTTTTGTTTTGGGGGGTAACCACAGACCACACTCTAGACATTTTTTTCCGGGGAGCCCAGAACGCTCAGTTCCAGGCCGGGCCTTCGCGGGAGGTTGGGCGACCCCGCGCGGCACTCACCCTCTTCGGGTGCTGGTTTCCCCAGGCTCCCGGGGCTGCTCTGAAGCAGCCACATTCCGCCGCGCCTCCTGCGGGCGCCGGGCATAGGTGCTGTCTATCGGCCTCGGCCTCAGCCCGCGCTGCAGTTGAGTTTCTCGCTTCACACCGAAAAGATTCGCGGGGGCTCCGGCCTTTCTCGGCCTTTTGGGGTCCCCACTTCCCCTCCGGAGGCGCACGGGTCTCTCTGCAGCCGCACCCACAGCCTGGACACCTCACCACAGCGGCTGGCCGGCGGCCGGCGCGTCCCCCCCATCAGCCCTCCGAGGCGGCTATTGGGCGCAGACGATTGGGCGGAGTCAGTCTCTCGGCCCCGCCCCCGGCTTTCCCCCTTGGCCCTAGCGCCACTACGATTGGCTGTAGGATCCACCAGTCACGGGCTGAGGCGCCCCGCCCTGCGGGGGGCGGGACCCTGGGCTGGCCCCGCCCCTCCCGCCTCCCGGCCCCGCCCCCCTCGGAGCCAGGTCTCCTCAGCCCGGAGGTCCGCCTCATTCGCGGAGCCAGTCCTTCAATGGTCAGAGCGCTCCGGGCGGCTGCGGAGCCGGGGCGGCCGCGGGCTGGTCGTGCTGCTCTCTCGGAGGTGCCTGCCCGAGCCGATCCGCCCCCCCGGTCGCTGCTACCGGGCAACTTGGGAATCTGGACCCGCAGCAGAGGCGTTGCTTTGAGATCGGGACTTGGCGGCCAGGGTGAGTGCTCTGCGCGCGGGCTAGTCTAGCGGCGCCTCTTGGAGCGGTTCCGCGAGCCGAGCCGGGGGGCTGGACGCGTCCTGGGGCGCGCGGCGGCGCGTCTGTCCGAGGGTGGCCGCTGCGGGGAGTCAGGGCTGGGAGGGATGTCGTCCCCGCCAGAATCCCGGCTGCTGAACTTCTGGTTCCAAAGCGTCGCGACTGCCCGGGACGCGACTTCTGCTGCGTGCCCGCGAACTTGGCGTGTGGTCGGTTTGTGCCGCCCTGGCTTGGTTGCCCAGGGATGTGGCCCCCGGCTCCCTGCGGCCGCGGCACGCCTGCTGGGCCGGCCTCGGCGCCCGCGGTTCCTGGATGGCTTGCGGGCGGGCGGGCTCCAGAGAATTGAGCCCGCGCCGGAGTCGTGGGCAGTAGAACCCCGCGTCCGCGTCTGATCTGGAGCCCGAGCCAGCGATCTTGGGGTTCGGGAATTGGGGGTTGTCTTCAGCTGTCAGAGAACTTAGGGAACCATCCAGATTCTGTAGCTGGGGCTTCAGTGGTTTTTGCAGTTATTGGAAGGAAATGACAGCACGGATATTAAACTTTGGGAAGTAATTACTTACTGCTAGCACTGGAACCCGCATCCCTCCCGACGTGCTCGGACCTCCGCATCACGGCCAGGTGCGTCCAGAGACGCCGGCAGAGCCAGTGGGAGCTCCGGTCTGTCCTGGGGCCCAGAGTCCCCCCTCCGGAGTACGGGGACCAGACCATGAAATGAAGCACCAGGCTGGTCGAGTGGCGTTTGCCTGAGCACCTGTGTGTTTAAGTGATGAAGTTGTGACAGGAACTGACAACAGGATTTAAGGTTAATCCTGACACCTCGTTCTGGGATAGACTTTTTTTTTTTTTTAATCTTAATGATAAGGAGTAAAAGCAGCTGGTTTTTCTGAGGGCAGTTACATACATGTATTTTATATTATGTGTGGACTCAATAGGATTTAATACAGTATTTTCTTGTAATTCTTATTTGACATGAAAGAGAGCTTGTTGAGAGTACTTGGTCTGGACACTGGGAATATTTTGGTCTTTGAAAATATATAGAAAGGTTGAGATATATAGCTACCCATGTGTGTGTTTGCATATGTAGATATGCACATATGTGTGCATATAAAATTGACAGGTGACTGAAATAGAAATATATGCAGAGGGAAACAACCTTGAACTTCCCCTGGGTGGAGAAATGGCCCCTCTGATCTGTGAGGTGTATAATGAATGTAAGCACGTCTGGATCTGCCTGGTCTGTCTGGGTCAGACTATGTCCATGAACTTTATGAGCATTCAGTTCAGTACCATTCGGTTCAGTTTCCACGTTCCTATTTTACAGCCCTGCAGCCGCCAGCCGGCCCATCTGTTAAAACAGAACATGTACACTTCAGTGGGAGCCCTAGGATGGAGCGTGGGTAGGGGGCAACCCTTAGTAGAAGAAACATGCTACAAACAAAGCCTGCCTCTCAAGTTCTATTTTCATTCAGTATTCAGCCTGAACTTGTGATTTGGGTGAGGAAGAACAAGAGTGTTTGACTCTTCAGAAATGGCAAACCGCATTTTGTAAAATAATGATAGCCGTGATTTGGGGAGGGGGTGTTTATGGGAGGGAAAAAAATCCCTCTAGGAAAGTAATGTGGTGCTTGTCACATCACCATGCAACACTGGTCTGCTGCTTTGCAGTGGCATGCATTTTAGAAACTGTGCTCTTTTGCTTCTTAAGAGATGCATTACAACGAATCATTTTGCACCAAAAAAAAAAAAAAATCATTAATAGAAGTAAACAGAGCTTTATTGCAGAGGCTATTTAATCTATTAGAGTGAAGACTGCCTTACTAATTCTAATGAAATGTGTTTTTAGGAATTTATAACTTGCATATAAATTCATAGTCAGCCTAATCACTAGTTGCAATGGTTTACAATTTATAGTTTAAAAACATAATAAAAACCTTTATCACAAAAATTCTGATGAGTAAAAGGATATTGGAGGGGCTTAACAGCTTAATAAATTCCTGCAGCCAAATGACTGATACTTAAAAAAACTATAAATTCCTTTAATAGCATAATTATTTTTTTGGTGACAAAATAAAGGCAATATTTTTGTGAGGCATAGTTGATATCTTCCCAATAATTTTATGCTCATAATTATATTTTAATAATGGTGTTCATTATATGTTGCAGGATAAACTGCAATGGTACTTAAGAACTCATCACAAGAAGTATTGTTTTTATTTTTATGGTACTTAACCATTTGGGGGGAAATGTGCAAATCCCTAATCTGTCTTTAAATTGCTGATGGACTACGTAGACATAATAACTCTCCTGCCTTGACATGAGTCATCTGAGTCAATTGGGTTGTTCCTTAGAAATTCATTTTATAGGCTGGACTCCAATCTCTGGGATTCGAGTCTGGGGTGGGGCTTAGGAATCTGCTTTTTAACAAGCACCCCCAAGCGATTCTTGATATATAAGAACAATATCCTCTATAAGTTGATTTAACAAATATTTGTTTCAAAATTTCCAGGTGACATTTACTGGCCTTGTGAAATTTATAGGTAACCCTTTAATTCTCTGTTTTCAACAACGACACCTTTGTCCTGTGTTCAGAAGTGTTTTTGGAAACCTCAGCTATCCCTGTTCCAGGTTAGCCCCCCAATTCTAAGGAAGTCTGTCTGGGGAAGCAAGGTAATTTAATCTTAGTCCTTCCATTAGTCCTTCCATTCTCTACTCCAAGTCCAGTGGATCCCTGAGGTTTCCGGGGTGGCTTTGCCAGTCCTAATTTACATTCCTGAGAATTTCTCCTTGGAGGTTAGATGAGTCCTAGCCCTTGGGAACCACCTTTGATACTTTAAAGTTGTTCCAGGTTGGGGGCTAGAACCTCAGCAGGGCTAGTATCAACTTATCCAAGGTCAAGGATCTTCTTGGGAAGCTATAGCTGGCTTGCCTCTTTGTCAGAAGTGTCCCAAGCCAACCACCCAGAAACCCAGGGGGTCTAATTTTCAAAAAGTCATCTTAGAAGTACTTTGAGCTGTCCCAGCTAATTGGGTACATAGATTTTATCAGCATCACAGAGTGATGAGTTGAGAATTGATTGCCATCTCCCTTACAATGAACCTGGTTAAGGTCAGGTTCATTGAACCAATAATCATAGTATATGGTGGGTAGTTTTATAAAGAAAACTGTTCAAAAAAAGAAAAATCAGTGTAAATTTCAATTTATTAATTATTGCCAGTTTGTGGTTTGTTTGTTTTTTAATGTATCGTTTGATACCAATGTTTAAGTTCAGTTCCGCCAATTCAGACTGGCTTAATTCTCCATTTCCATAAGACTCCTGGAAAAGGTTTAAAAGAGAAAGGATCTATGAGAAGTTGTTACCCCTTCCTCTTTCTACCATCCAAGTACCTGAAAAACCAAATGACTTCTCAGAGGTCAGCAGTGCCCAGAATATTTACTTCCCTGAGGACTAAAGGATGTGGGTAGGCTGGGAAACTGAACTTGGGTTGTTCCAGGCCCCTGCATCATTACAGGAACTTTTACAGAGCAATTTCTGTTTTAAGGAGCACTTGACAGGCATGTTCATAGGTCGCTTACCTAAATTTTTTGAGTGCCACGATCTTTCCCCCACTTTGTCACAGATGAGCAAACTGCAACCACAAAGATGACACCAATAACTGAGAAGTTGGCCTTATGTCTTTTGAATTGTCGTTATTTAGCATTGTGGTGAGATAATAAAGTTCTGCTTAGTCATTTATGCTATCTATAGTTTTTATTTTTTTTTATTTTTACCTTTCCTTGCATTTTTTAATATTGAATATAACCTTGGGACAATTTTGTTTTCTTTCTTTTTTTGAACAGTTTTCTTTATAAAACTAACCATCATATACTATGATCATTGGTTCAATGAACCTGACCTTAACCAGCCAGCCTTGACCCACCATGGCAAATAATTTGCTAAAGGTCACAGAGTACAATGGCAGTAAAGTCTATATGTTGAATTTTTTTTTACTAATATTTTAGACCTGTACTGTTTGCCTGTTGAGTCATGCTGATAATAATGCTTTTAGGCTAGCAGGATACAGTTGCTTATATTTCACTTGACCAGTTTCTGAATGATTGGATGGACCTAAAAATTTTTAAAGTCTAAGGTATAATTTCAGCCCCTGATTATTCAATGGGACTGATTTGTGCTAGTTAAAAACAACAGTAGAATGTTACTTTTCTTGAAACTGGGTCATAGGTCATTGCAAGCTTCTAAGCAACAATTTTGCAATTCTGGTTTTGTTTTGGTTTTGTTTTAGGGTTTGGGGGGTTTGTTTTGGTGAGGGTTTTGTTTTTTGTTTTTTGGGGATATTTTTGGCCATGGAATACTTGTGGCAAAAAGAATTTGACAAATTCTTTTCAAGTTTTGACCTTCCTTTCAATATATCCTTATGCCCATGGAAAAATTTACTTATGAAAAATTCACTTTTCAAATCAACCTGCCCTTGTTTGTTGGTTGGTTGGTTGGTTGTTTTTTAATTTATTGATTTTTAGAAAAAGAGGAAGGGAAAGGAACAGAGAGAGAAACATTGATGGGAGAATGGAACATCAGGGAGCATCGATCAGCTGCATACCCCCTACCAGGGATCAAAGCCCAAAACTCGAACATGTACCCTGACCAGGAATCGAACTGGTAACCTTTTGGTGCACAGAATGCTGCCCAACCAACTGAGCCACAGTGGCCAGGACAATTTGTCCTTATAACAGTTCCTAATACTAAAATTTTAGCCATAATTCTCCTCCAAAATTCTCCTTAAATTCCTGCCTTCACTTTGTGGTGGTAGTTTTTGTTTTGTTTGTTTTGTTTTGCATCTAGTAACATCTTCTAATATAGAACAGGTAGTGAGATATAGAAGTTTTACACTAGTTTTAATGTTGTGGGTTAAACTGTAACAATAGTAAGAAAAAATAAAAATAGGTATAACATTAAAGTTATGTTGATA